TATGTACTGATATTACCCTAAAAACTATCAGGTCTATGCAGTGTCACGTGACATCTATGTACCAAGTTTCATTGAAATGTGATGATTACTACTTGAAATATCAAAAGCTGAAAATTAATTAATTAATATGCAAATTAAGTACCGTAATTAATATGTACTGATATTACCCTAAAAACTATCAGGTCTATGCAGTGTCACATGACATCTATGTACCAAGTTTCATTGATATGTGATGATTACTACTTGAAATAACAAAAGCTGAAAATTAATTAATTATGCAAATTAGGTAATTAATATGTACTGATATTACCCTAAAAACTATCAGGTCTGTGCAGTGTCCTATGATATCTACGTACCAAGTTTTATTGAAATGTGATGATTACTACTTAAAATATCAAAAGCTGAAAATTAATTATGCAAATTAGGTAATTAATATGTACTGATATTACTTTAAAAACTATCAGGTCTGTGCAGTGTCCTATGATATATATGTGCCAAGTTTTATTGAAATGTGATGTAGATATCAGTGGAACAATCATGGAACAGCTAAAAATCAGCTAATTATCATGCAAATTAGGTAATTAATATGCATGGATTTTTACCAAAACCTAATCAAATTTGCACATTAGTTCAGAGCATCTATGTGCCAAGTTTCATCAAAATCCAATGAGTGGTTCTTTAGATATCAGCGGAACAATCATGGAACAGCTAAAAATCAGCTAATTATCATGCAAATTAGGTAATTAATATGCATGGATTTTTACCAAAACCTAATCAAATCTGCGCATTGGCCCAGTGCATCTATGCACCAAGTTTCATCAAAAATCAATGTATGGTTCTTGAGATATCAGTGGAACAGACACAGACAGACACACACACTAACTGCAAAGACTCCCTTTTTGTGCTTCGCACACGGGATTCAAAAAGTGCAGAAAAATTTGAATGAAAAAGTCGGGTAGTGAAAAGGTTAAGCAGTTTGACCAATTTAAATTACTGTCATCACAAAAAAGAAATGCCAGCAAATCTGGGGTTATGAACGTGCAAGTGTAAACATCTGTAGGACTTGAGGAGCAGTTATTGTAATATTGCTAGCAAAAGTGTTGCAATGTGTTCCATTTTTTTGCAGCGACAGTTGTCAGGGTAACCATTTGAAGATTGAGATTTTCATACTTGGGTCAGTGTCACAGATGCCAGCAAAATAGAGGAGAGATTCTTGGGACTTCATGTGTACAATAAAATAAAAGTAATATACTGTGATTATTCACTTACTTGTAATCAGATCCAAGTTGTTTGAAGCAGTCCAACAGCTGGGGGATCTCGTGTTCAACGACAGCTGGCAATTGACCATCTCCAACACCATCACGGTAGACAAATATTCTCTCTGGCAGTGTTTTATTGATTTCATGGTATTTCTTCAAAGAAGCTAGAACAATTCAAACCAAGTCAGTTGCTCAGAGGAATGAAACGAGAACACATAATGATTACAACCAGAATGGGTGCAGCTTAGATCAGTGGTCATAACCACTTGTGCCAGGTAAACACATCACTGGTCATAACCACTTGTGCCAGGTAAACACATCAGTGGTCATAACCACTTGTGCCAGGTAAACACATCACTGGTCATAACCACTTGTGCCAGGTAAACACATCAGTGGTCATACATAACCACTTGTGCCAGGTAAACACAGTGGTCATAACCACTTGTGCCAGGTAAACACAGTGGTCATAACCACTTGTGCCAGGTTAACACATCACTGGTCATAACCACTTGTGCCAGGTTAACACATCACTGGTCATAACCACTTGTGCCAGGTAAACACACATCAGTGGTCATAACCACTTGGGCCAGGTCAATACATAGTGGGTCATGACCACAATACTAAAACAATCTGATATATCGTATCTTACCTTGCAAGCACACTTTGAGTCCATCAATCAACTCCTGTCCAGTATGCTGGAATGTGACACGGGAATAGAATCTACAGAAATACAAAGTGATACTGAGCATTACTGTTTAATCATATCAAACAAGGTATAACATTGATTTGATTCTGTTTACATAGATATGCTTCACAAACGTGTTTCAGCATAAGATTACTTATACACCAAATACCTGGTTATTGTCCTGTTAGTACTTGCAATAAATGCTCCAATAGACTGTCCCTTTGTTGCACTGTCATGATAGCAATCGATGCCAACAATCATCATATTCTTGATCTGCATAATAATCACATGAACAAATTTACTATCAGCTGCTTGAACTGAACTGGCGACCAACCAGAGGGTATGCGGGTAAGTTTTGTGAAGACAATAATACAACAGCACGGTGTTCAACAATCTCCCTTGTGCAAAATTTCAAATACAGATCCTAAGCTACACACAATAAGATCTGCTCAGTAATTTAATTATTTTTGTTCTTGTCCAGGGACATTAAATGTGGCAAACATTTATTGGTTTCAGTAAAATGTACTTACTGGTATTTCTAGTGCCCACAACTCACCACCAAGCTTGCAGTTCAACTGCATGGCTATTTTGGTGGCTACAGACATCAACATTGGTTTCTTGCTTATGGTACGTCCAAGTATGACTTGGCTCGGCACAGGATGGTCAATGCAACAGAACTTCTTAATGGCATCATAGCGGTCTTTTCTATTATTAGGCAAAATGCACACAACCTATGAACAGATAATTAAGATATCAAATATGAGAAGACAATATACTACTGTGAACCATTTAATTTCCACTGCTAGAAACACTTGTGATTTGTGGCATTAGTTTTGACAAAATTTTGCAAGCCAGTAACACTCGTAGGGAGGGCGCCAGATATATTTTTTCTACTGCTACAAAATGTCAGGATTTTATTTAACTCACAAAAATAAAGTGGTTACAATTTTAGTAAATGAAACTCGGCCAATGGATTTTGCCTTCCTATTGAGTCTGTGGCACCCTCACACAGGGTAATCCTTTTCAGTTAACCCAAGGGAGGATTGGACGCACACAGGGCAAAACATAAGTCCCCGTTTTCGGACTACGTCCGAACGGGGACTAACAAAGACAACTAACCATCTGGGTGTTGGAACTCATGGTTTGCCGAATGGTCTGTATGTAAGTTTCAGTACGATCATCTTGTAGTTCAATCCTGTGCAGAGAAGGAATAGAATATTTACTGTCATGTTTCAACCATGTACTTTTAGAAAGTCGCAAAACATATGTACGCC